ATTAACACCCCATATATAACCTCATTATTCAAAATTGATTTCTCGATACTCAATAACTTTTAAATGATTGCTGAAATGCATGAGTTTCATGCTCTTCATTCAGTTCAAGCAGATAATCCATTTCTCGTAAATATCACACGCACCGAGTCTATCAATCTATGTCAAATTAAGCAATAAAGAACTAACGAAAAGGTATTTCTTGTTCAGAATATTATTTGTCAACAAGTTAGAAGAAGTGTCGAAGAGACAATGCGGAAGTTGTGTACACAACGACTTCAGAAATGACACAGTATGTTAATAATCAATGAATTTTGAATTAATAATAAATGTTGTGATGATTGATTGACATTCCTTTGTGCTGTATATTTTCCTAATCATCTTCATGCCCTTTTTCAAAATTGTATTGAATTAAAACCCATCAAATGCATGTAGTCTATGTGTGGTTGCGGTCAACTTTCAACAGCAATAGCCAATTATTTTCTATATCACTAATAAAGCTTGATTTAGTTGATTTAACACGTAATGCCGGGATAACCAATCAGGGATTTTAAAATTTAAATAAAATCTATCGGAACTTTTACGACAAACACAATACATTTGCGATTAAAATAATTACTGTTTTTGCACATAAAAAATGTTGATTTTTCTCACTCAGCATGAGTTAGGGATTACACAATATATTCGAATTTAGGGAGATTAATTTATGTGACGTGTAAATTTAATGAGATGTTAAATCAAGCTAATAATAATCTCATGAATGTTACAGGCATTTTTCAAACATTTGAATTTGAAAAATTTAACGGATTTTTTGAATTTAAAAAATTTAACAGATTTTTGAATTTGAAAATTTAACGGATTTTTTTAATTTGAAAAATTCAACGTTTTTTTTAAAAATTGGAAAAAATGATTAAATTTTAAAAAAATTATAAAAAATCTGTTTTTTCGCATTAATTTAAAAAAATATATTTGAATCCAATATATTTTAAATAAAATCCACTAGATCATGCGATCTGTCAGTTCTTTCATTTGAAGCCCCTACTACTAAGCTCATCCGATGCTGAACATGCAAAAAATCTATTTTATATGCAATTGAAACATTTTTCTGTTTTGTTTGGTTTTCACCATCAAAATTTGCTTTTTAAATATCATCATTGGACATAGACATGCACATAAAGCTTTGTGCGGGTTAAGCTTTATATTTTATAATCAATGCGAATTCAAAAAAAAAGTACAAAAATAAATAAACAAAATCGATAAATTTCGTTAAGTATTTATATTGTGCAAAATATTACGGATATAAAATATGTTTTTATAATTTTTCAGAAATTGAATAATATTTGCATAGATTTCCATTATAACATGCAATGTGTCAGGGTTGTTTATTTCGAAAAAAATATTTTTTTTTGAAATATCAGGAAAAATGTTGGATATCAATGAAGGATGTAGAAAGGAAAAAAAATTGTATGTAGAGTTAGAATGAAATTTTCATTTTTGTTTGTTTCCGTGACAAGTGTTTTGGGTTAAAGCCTCTGGACACTTGTACATTATGTTATAACATGCAAATGTGGCTTTTTAACATGAATATAATACAATCAAAGATTGATGATGTCGATGGTTGAAAATCCAGCAACTCTGACGAGTTAAAAACAATTTTTGATTCAAAAACTTTCAATAACTTTATCCTATATTGTTCGATTTTTTACCATAATTGGTTCATGTACATGCTCATATATGTGTACATGAAAGGTATGCTCTTTGATTTGCAATTCAATGGGGGTACTAACGAGAAGACCGACGTATACGCAAACATACAAGCTTTAGCACAGAACATATTACAATAGTATCCTTTGTTTGAGAATTGCATATGGTTGTGCAGAGTATGTCAGTAATCTCGAACAATGATCTATGCTACAGAGCTTTTCATGGATCAAATTTAATGAATATTTGTTTTATTACAAAATTTAAGGCATTTTCATTATTTTCATATGCATATGACCCCATACGACTAGATTATTATGGCATTCTTACAGCAAAAATCGTTAGCAATTAATTTCATACCTAGGATATTCTATACATTCTGATAATTTTAACAACATTATAAATTATTCAATAATTCATGATTGATTTAAATTTTAATTTTTTTAAAATTCAGTTCTTATAAACAGCAATGACATAAAATATTGTAATTATTGTTAATTATAAATGAAATGAAACTTTGAGTCAACGATGTCAATCGCATGGTTAATTTATTCCAGAATTGCAAAACATCATCTGCAAATGTTAAAATATCATTAAAAATGTATTCGTTTCGTAATTTGGTTCAGTGAACGCTGTTAAAGTCAAATGTCCTTCATTAATGGTTAAAACTTTCAGTGATGTTGCTTAATTTCTTTCCTTGATGTGTCTATTAATGTGCTGATGCTTCATCGTGATATTGCAAAAGCAAAAAAGTTGTCAGGTAATGCAATGTGGCAATACCTTAACTAGGGATGATTCAATGTACATATGGATATGCCAACGTCTTTTTCCCCAATTTATCTTTACATTCATGAATCACTCCGGGATGTCTTAACAACCCCTACTCTGTAGGAAGATTTTCTCAGTGATAACGGAAGTAAGAAAATCAAGGACAATTAGAGACAAAACAGGAATAATGAGGGTAAAGAAAATTGAAGCATATGTTGAGGAATCTTTTTTTATTAACTTTGAATGATGTATTCTAGGAAAAGAGTAGCTCTGGATGAGCAAATAAAGATTCGGATAGAATGGAAAAGTCTCTAGAAAGGTTTAAGGTTTACAATCTGTAGTATTTAATAGGAGAGATAAGCAAACTCCCTTTTCCTTAAAGATGGACTTCAAATCAACAAGACTGTTTAATAATAATTAAGTTTTAAACTTAATCAATACTTTCAGAATCCCATTTAAATAAAAACATTTTGTAGATGCAATGAATTTTAAACTTTTTCTTTCATTTATGGTTGACAGAAAAATGCACGAAACATTTTTTCCCATCATATCGCACTACCGCCGTACCGGCATACCACATTTTCATCACATGGATGTCATGCGATCTCCATGAATAGATGAACGTATGTTTGTGATGCCTGCGATTTTTGTGGCATTTAATTGTGAACATTTTAAAACCGTAAATCATTCAATTATGCTATTTTTAACTAATTAATTTGAATTCAATTATTTTGCACCATAGCTGTTTAATGGTACAATAATGCGTGTGAATTAAGCATTAAAATGATACGTAATATGTAAGGACACTACTTTCCTATTCATTGTAATTACCTTTAAGTTGCCTTTAAGTATAAAAATAAGAAAAATTGTCAAAGCAAATTACTATGAACGGAGAATTTTCATCGATTAATATTTCACCTATTGTTGGTTCCTAGAGAGCTTCAACCTTTTTTGTCCGATATTTGTTGCTTCATCGATTTTATTCTGTCTATATTATTATATGTAGACAAAATTGTAGGCAAGTTGCGTGAAATATTAAAAGAACAATCACTAGATAGAAAAAAAACAATAACACATGTGAAACTTACTGGTTAGCATGAAAAGGTTAAATGCCAGTAGCTATATTCTTTGAAAGAAGCGACGAAAGTTTTTAAAGGTTTTACAAATATTTTTGGGAATTTAACTTTTGATAAAGCTGCGAGTTGGCTATTATGGCGTCGTTCTTAAATTAATCTAGTAGTATGAAATGTTTGAGGGGGGGGGGGGGGGGGTTGTTCGAAATAGGGTTATATTTTAAATATTTATCAAGCAAACCAATTAAATTTTAACTGGTTGACTGGCACAGTGGTGAGGAAGAAGGGAAATCTTCAAAATCTCACTTTCTAGCTACATGTCTAGTAAGATATAATTTAAAATCTGATCCTACATTTATTACGATTGCTTATTTACAGGGATTTTGAATCTAATTGACATTCAACTCTAATGAGACTGTAACTGTAACTGTTTATGTAGATCCAGCATTACCAGTTTTTTCGGAACCATTCGTAAAGATCTAGATGTGTTTACGGAATTTATGATCGATCCCATGTAAATATTTCAACTTTGATTTCTTTCTTTTTTAAAAATATTAAACAAATTCTCACAACCCATAGCTTTACACAAATTATCTATAGACACCAAAAAATCTCCTTGTTCACAAACGCATCAATGTGTAAAAATTTGAATTTATTTATTTATATTTCTGTCACAAAAGAGATTAATCTCTATTTATAACAGAAAACAAAAAGAAGCCAATTTACACAATATTCGGACAGTTCATTTAATTAGTATTACCTGAACGGACTCATAGTTGTTGGCAAAAAATAGAATTTATCTATTTAGCCTATTCAACTGAAATTAGAATCCAAATTTACCACTCGATTAACATTTGACTGAACAGTTGAAATTGAAAATTACAATAGCTTAGCTTTAACCACGCAATGCCACTCTGTGTAGGCGAAAACGTTTTTCATTGTTGTCATTACATAAAATTGAATTTATTTTGACTTACGATTTAATTATGACGACCATAATTTTACCAGAATGTAATAGTTTGGGTAATAATAAAAAAAAGTATCCGTATGCGGACGACTTGTGTGCGAAGAAGTAGAAAAATCGATTAGTTTGCGTTTTTGGGGTATAATGAGAGGTAAAGACAGCTGAATTTTTTTTTCAGTGATTATTTTGACTTTTATAAATATTTGATGATACACTTTGTTCAATTATTCCTAATTATAATTGGAAGGAAAACAATGGACACTCACTACCACATTTCATGTCACGGTTATTTGAATAAATAATAATGATTTTCATTATGACAAGTGTTCATTTCCTTTATCCCTCATTACATGAAACTCAAGTCGATTGACAGGTTAAGTAAGAATGATTGAGGCTAAATTAAGGATCTTGAATAGGATGAAGCTTCATCTGATTATTAATCCATGCTGAATAATGCAATGAAAAAAAAAATGGAAAGAAAATTGCAGTGTACGTACCTCACTTTATATTTAAATATTCTTCCTCGTTTTGAATATTGATGATGAACGTCAGTTCCTCCTTCTCTTAATAAAAAATGTTTCCACGTTTTCCTATCTTCAATTTCTATTTACTCTATTGATGCATTTTATGCAACGCTAAGCATTCAATTCGTTATAATGTACACTAAAATTTAAGTTTCTCTTCTCGTTTGCTTTCTGTATATGTATATTTTTCCTATATTGACATGCGATTGAATAGCATAAAACACTCAATCACATTACATTCTGTTTGTTTTTTCACGAATTTTCCAATTTAAATTCTTCATTTTCATGTGCACACATATATCCTTTTTTGCTTTATTCAATTTATTTTCACTTTTTGGCTGCTCTTCCTCTAATTCTTTTCTCACGCTTGATAGGAATTTGATCACAAATCAATTGAATTATACAATCCACTAAACAGTAAAATGCCTTAATTTTTTTTTGACTTTTAAATGTCAAATGTTTTTTTTTATTTAAATTTACAAATTTTTTTCTGATTTTTCAAATTTTTTATTTTATTTTGACAAAAATTGATTTTTCGGCTTAATGCTTAATACGTGAAATTTTTTTTTCTTGCTTGCTCAAGCACAAAATTTTTTATTTGCTCCTATTCCACTCTGATACAAAAGCCTCAATTTCCCTTTTTGATTAGATTTTTTTTTTATGAAAGAAAATACAACAACCAAACTACTCAGCGGCAGTCACAGACGTCTACTGAAATATAACGTACACTTTTTTTCTGGTTGAAATCGTTTGTAAATACGAGTTGGAATCGGAAAGCAAATAGGGGTTTTGTGCATTCTTTCGGCTCTTTGGAGGGGAAACACGTGAGGTTTGTGTTTATATTTTTAAAATTAAATAATCGGATTAGTGACTATTGACAGTCTTTATGCTTGATGCCTTTTGATTTTAGATTTAAGGAACTTTCACAATTTTTAGGGATTTTGAAGATTTGATAATTAAATTACTTAAAATCGGGTGCATCCTTGTTGTAAACATTGAAATATTAATCTAGTCCATTTCCCCACTACTTTTGTCATTTCCCCTAATGTTTTCAATGTTGATTGTTGCATGCTTATTACTGTTTTATTGTTTCGATTGTTTCAATGCTTCAAATTCTCTCACAAATGTTTTACAGCATTCCCGCTCAGCAACATCCTCAACATCCTCGAAAGATTCCTCTCTTCATCATCATTCCAATCATCATCATCTAAATTTATCGCAATGACGTTAAACGCGTAAGAACGGAGAAAAGAGAAAAGAAAAGTCGACTAAAGGAAATTGCCATATAAAGATGCTTTAAAGATTTTGTTCCATCCATTCATTGCAGATAACGAACGTAAAAAAGAAGACAAAAAAAAAGTTGGCGATAATTTATTTTATGATGGTGCACTTGAAGAAACACACACAATGAGCTGATAATGTCACATTGTATTGAAACAAATGCCGTATAATTTTCAATTGATCATCCCCTTACTTCCATTTCGCGTTCTCTCATCCTCAGTATTTCTCTCTTTTTGTTTTTTGCATTTTTATTTTTCTGCACGTAAAAATAAAGCCTCTGTGTAAATATTTAAATTAGATTAAATTCCTTCTTCTTTATTCCTTTTGTTGTCAGTCGACAAAATAGAGAAGGGCGCTGGGATTGAGCTCCTGTGAAATGCTGAAAATTTTATGGAAAATACATAAAATCTCTCTTAAGTAATGGTTAAGGAAATAAGTAATGAAAATTTAATGTACATGATTCTTTTCCCTTTGAAATGCCAATTAAGGATCATTTTGAAATGCAAAAATATTTCCAATCCGCCTGTATACTTTTCAATAAAGACTGTTTTTTGCTATTTTTGTGCTTTCTTTGATACGTGTTCATCAATAAAAATGTGTGATTATTTGCGTAACGAGACCGTGAAAATAAGAAATGATGGGTGAAATTTCCCTGCTCTTTTGTTACCGTGCTATATATATATGATGAGATTTACATGGCATTTTCGCACGTATGAGCTGTTTAGAACGCATTTTGATTTTCTTGCTGAGTGCTGCGAGAAATGTAATGGTTACAGAGAAATCTCATCAAAATTTCAAGATTTGCTTTAGGTTTGTTTTAAGAAAGAAAAAAAAAATAAATTTCAGATTCTTACACGTGTTTTTAAATTATTTAATTTAAAATTGGCACGACAGAAAAATCGGTGGTACAAATTTGTGTGGGGGGTGTCTTAATGGTGTTAGGCGATTAGAACCATTGTCTCGAGTGTTATGAATTATTTTGAGGTTATGCCATTTATTCCATTAAAGGAAACGGAGCGAAAATTTTCAATTTAGCTCTACTGTTCGATATTTAATTCTGAATTAAGAAAGGGTTGACCTTGAACCTACTAGCTTTGACAACGTCTCTATCCATCATATAAAATTTTCTTTTTGATAATCTTGTAAATTATGATGATTAATGACAGATTTCTAAGAAAAATAATTATCTCAACAGGACAAACAAGCTAGTTTCTATGAAGTCATCTTCTCCACAGACAGTCAACAAATAAATTCTTTCATAGGTTCGTGGTTTAGAAGTATTTAAATATTAATTTTGCGCTGGAGGCATTTAGAAAATTCTTCTTTTTAATGAATTCTGCAATCAAAGCCTTGAATTCTTGGAACTTCTCTCTCTGCTGAGACTTTTGAAATCTTTTGAATTTTGTATCTCAAAATTTCCAGGAAATTTCATTACTTTTTACTTATGGCTCAAAGGACTGAATTCTTCTTTCAAGTTCAACATCTTGTTCAGTTTTGTTGAAAATTGATTTTCTTTTACTTTAATTACGTTGTGACATACAATAGGTGTGGGAATGTTCTGTTGAAAAACTAATTAAAAGTCTAGCATAACTCTACATTTTTATTAAATTTCGAATTTAAGAAATTAATTAGAAATCAACTTATAAGCCACAAAATGCACCACAGACACAGCGTTAAAATACTAGCTTACAACAAGTCCTCACATTTTTATGAAAACAGCTTTGAAATATCGATTCAATGAAATTATGTAAAAGATTCGATTGTTTTTTGATCAAAAAAATTGTTCTTTCGCATTTGAACTTCTTTATTGCCATTTTCTTCCTCACTGATGTTGTTTCACTTAAGAAAATAAGATTTTTTTAAATTAAGGAAAGAATAAAAACTTTTTTCCCTCCGAATTGTTTCCTTTCCTGTTGTTATCAGGCATTTACGATTGTTATGTTTGATTTTCTCCCCTACTCAAATTCCTTTCCCGTTTATGTTTCTCGTATTTTTGCAAATACTTAAATTTTTTAAGGTTCTTTTAGGCATTGATGAACATGAAAGAGCAAATAAAGAACACTCAGTGAATGGTACAATTTAATTCGATAAGATTAGGGGGGTCGTTGGCAAATTAAGGATCAAGGGTGTCAAAATTTTACTTGTTGTGAAGTCTGCTGGTCGTGAGACATTTTGAAATTTTTTTCAGATTTTATTTAAGGGGGATTACTTCCAAAAGCTTGATTCTCGTTACAACGAACACCTGCTCTTCCATTTATCATTAATTACCAGCACCCTGCCATTAAGATGGAACACAATCTCTCCATTAAAATTGTCAAACATCATTTGCAAACAACCCCTTACGAATGAACAGCTCCCTTATAATTAAACTATATAAAGCCAGCAAAAAAAAAATAAAATCTTTAAAGATATCAAACTAAGAAGTGAGATGGAGAGAGAATAATTAAGACTGAAAAGGATTATTAGTGTTAATGATTTGTTTTAACGACAAGACATAAAAAAATTTTTCTTTCTCGCTTTGTTCATCATCATCTCACTTCTTATAAGGCCAAGAATTCATTTTCATTCTAATCGAGGAGACATCAAGAAAGAGCGAAAGAGATGGAAGGAAGCAGATAAAGGATGAATAAGATGAAAAAATTACTTTTATTAGTTCAATTTGGATTTGAAAATTGTCGTAGACACACAGTTCGTTGGTTATCCAAGTCATTTTGGTATAAAAATCACGTTCGTGTCTTTACCATTCCTTTTTAACTTCGTTATGATTATAATGCCATGTGTGACAATTGATCACACTCAATTATATTCACGTACATGCGTATGGCCTGATTATCTTACATCCTAGGTGTGCAAATGAGATAATAGCAATTAATCTTACTCAAATGACTGAAACATCTTAATTATTTTCAAATTTGTAATTTAATGTGCTCGAGTCAGTGGCGTAGCCAGGAATTTGAAGAGAGGGGGGACAAATAATTTTTTATGTGGAAAATTTAGGTCCACCCCATTTTTTTTTTTTTTTTTAAAAACTCTACTAAAATGAAATTTCTGTTAAAGTAAGGGGATTTTTCACCCAAATACCCCCCTAGCTACGAGTCTGGCTCAAGAGTCTCATTAGAATTTTTTATCGAAACTTCTCTAATGCCAATTTGCGATTGCATAGCTTTCAGTCTGCTCTTGAATTTTTTTTCCTTCTATCAAAGGTCTTTTGAATTTATTGACTTTTCAATTGTCCGAGTAAAGTTTACTGTTTAAATCATTTTCATTTTTTTATTCATATCTTCATAACATAAGTTCTTTGTGCTTTGATACATCAACTTCTCTTTGATATTTCATTCTTTGAAGTTATGCGAACTGTAAAAAAAATTATTGTCCAATAATAAGGAGGTCATCAGATAACCTGAGATGTTGTGAGATGTCAAATTCAAATTGCTTTAAAATTAGGTTGGCAATTGATTGAAAAATATAAAATCACTAGATGGGGGGGGGGGGGTCTGAACTCATAAGTTCAGATATGTGGAAAGTTTATCACTCTAATTTTTTTTGTCCTATTACATTCACAGCGTTTTCACGTAATTTTTATAAAATTGAAGTTTGGACGAAAAAAATTATCAAAATACTTTTAACGAATGTTTGGCATATTCGTCAAGCTTAATACCTTCAAACATATACTGAGCGAAGCTCAGCTGACTCGCTAGCTTTATACCTTTAAACTTATGCTGAGCCAATCTTGGTCTATCCATAAGACCTTTTATGGTACGGTGTAAATATATCCGCATGGGTTTCTACCCGATACACTAGTTTAATACTCGAATTATTCAAACGATTAATTTAAACTTTTTTATCAATTTATGGAGACCTGAAGGAGCTCGTTGGCTGAATGGTTTAGTACTTTGGTACCTAATTATTGCAACACCGACACACGGGTTCGAGAATTAAGATTAAAAATTTTAATTGGCTTTCTTTTGGAATAATATTTGGAAATGAAGCTCTCTGGCGAACCTTTTTCACGCTAAACTATCATGAGACTTGTAACACTCAGGGGCGTAGCCAGGATTTTTCAAGGGAAGGGGTGTCCAAAAAAATTTACTGTCAAAAATCAATAAAACCTTCTCTATTCAATTATTAAAAGCTAATTTTAGCAAGAACAACTTTAAACGAATTAGATTTTCTTAATTAAGTACGATTTAAAGTTTGATAAAAGTTTAAAGAATTTTTTTTTGAAGTTTCAATCTCAAGGGGTTAGCACCTAAGGACCCCCCGCGTTACACCCCTGGTATCACTTATAACGCGCAGCTATGAATCTTAAAGGCTTGAGCAGCTAAAGTTTATTATTTTAAACAATTTATTTATTTAAAACTGAATTTTTTTAAAAATTTCAGTATTACAGTTACATCCAATTCATATCTTATATTCTCCGAAAGTCATGAAT